CCAACACCCTCTTCTGGTCTCCACAGGCACCAGGCACACATGGGGGTACACATACATACATGTAGACAAACACTCATACACATAAAATAAAAGTAAATAAATCTTTCAAATATATTTTTGCTAAAGTAATACTGACCCCACACCTAAACAAATATACTAGAGTAATAACATGCTCACAGAAATGAAAGGTTTTAAATTTTCTCTTTATGTTCTTTAATATTTAAAATATTCTCTAATATATTCTTGCTGATCTTTAAAAACTGTCTTACAGGTCTGGAGAGATAGCTCAGCAGTTAAGAGCACTGACTGCTCTTGCAGAGGACCCAGGTTTAATTCCCAGCACCCACATGGTGGCTATCAACTGTCTGTAACTCCAGTTCCAGGGGATGTGATGCATTCTCCTGACCTCCGCACGCATTGCACAACACGGATGTGCTTACACACATGTAGGCAATACACCCATATACACAAAATAAAAATAAATAAAATTTAAAAAACTGTCTTACACATGTTAGAAATGTCCCTCAAGAGTGTAAAATCACCTGTCCCTTCAAAAACAAAATGTCAGAGCTAGAGAGATGGCTCAGCAGTTAAGAACACTGGCTGTACTTGCAGATGACCCAGGTTCGAATCCTAGCAACTACATGGCAGCTAACAACTGTCCGTAACTCCAATTCTAGGGGATCCCATGCCCTCTTCTGTCCTCTGTGGGCACTGCATGATACAGGTGCAGTTACATGCAGGCAAAACATGTATACACAAAAAAATAAAAATACTAAATTAAAAATATTTTAAAAACAAATTTTATTTTAAAAATAAAATGTCATACTTTGAGTCTTAAAATTTGTGAAATTCCTTTTTCTTTAATTTTAAGGTACTTCCTTGTTTCTTCAAAGATTTACCATTCAGTCATAAATTCTCCAAATAATGACAGGGAATGGATGTTGTATGAGCTGGAACACAAAGAGCAGTGAGGCAGCTCACCCTGCCTCCTCATACCAGCCCTTACTTTCTCCTTCTACGAGAGGGAAAAGCTGGCAGAAACACCAAGTCAGATGTTCTTCTTCTCTGTCCCACCTCAACAGGAGTTTGCCTCCAAGAAAGGGAAACAAGTTGGTTCTGGTTATGATCTGGGTGCCTGATTCTCAATCCAGCTTTCTCGTCTTGATTTCTTTCCCTACAATGTTCTGTCTGGTGAGTATCCTCATGCAAATGTCCCAACAATGTCACGCCTGCACATGCGAACCCCAATCCTGCTTTATCTTCCATATTTTGGGCTTTACAAAGATGTTATCATCCTCTCATGGCATGGCATAGATCTCTGTGGCACTGAGTTAAGATTCAGGGGGGGGGGGCACTAGAGAGATCACTCAGTGGTTAAGAACACCTGCTACTCTTGCAGAAGACCCAAATTCGGCTCCCAACAACTACACTGGGCAGTTCACAAATACCTTAACTCCAGCTCCAGGGAACCCTATGTCCTCTTTTGGTCTACTAGGGCTCATAGTGCGTATATATTAGACACACACATATACATATAATTAAAAATAATTAAAACAATTTTTAAAAAGAATCAGGTATAGCCAGTCATTTCCCTACACCTGTTTCTTTTTTCTGTAAAAGCTGCCAATGATGGGACCAAGTTTATATGGTCACTGAGCTACAGATAATGATATCAGTAGGCACTTTGCCGTTAGATATTCCCCTTCTTCACCCTGGATTTAGTCATCAGCCACAGCCCACCAATGTTGCTTTCTATTTCTACCACCCCGTCCTGGTTTGGCCATTCAGCATTTCCATCTGTAATAAATGTAAAACTCTGGAACACTGTGCTCCCTTTTCTCTCCAGTCTTCTGGCCTATAAATTCCATGAGACAAGAGGTATGACGGGTCTTACTCCTCTTGTCCATTTTCCCATCAGCCAGCATAATCCCTGGCACAGGAAAGGTATCTGACAAATATTTCTTGGCAATGCTGCTTTGTTCTAAACTCATCGTTCCAAACACCAGATGCAATGAAGCCATGGTATCAGAAAGAAACTGGATCTCCAGAGAGCTGACGAAGTCTTCTGCATGCTGAATGATGGAGCACGACAATCTTTTTTTTTTCTCAGAAATCTCAAATTTCTCTTTCTCCTGCCTTATCTCATCACGGTAAATCACTGTGGAGGCCTTAGGCCTAAGTAAGTAAATAGTAAGCAAAATTATTCAATATAGGCAGAAATCATGTTAAATAAAAATAAGAAGGTAGTAAATAGGAAATGGGTGTTAAATATAGAAAGGATGGGTGGAAGGACTAAGACATAAGACATATTTGATAAATATTAAATATATATGAGGCACCTGGACTCTAAATATTCATGTACACTAAATATACAATAGGTACTAAATATTCATGAGTACTCAATATTCATAAGGCCTTAATTCGGCCACTCATTCATTGGCAACACCCATTCTGGCCCCATATGCACGTTGTACAAGAAACACATATTCATGTATATACAATAGGTACTAAATATTCATGAGTACTCAATATTCATAAGGCCTTAATTCGGCCACTCATTCATTGGCAACACCCATTCTGGCCCCATATGCACGTTGTACAAGAAACACAACCAAAACCCATTACTATTCAATAGACTCACTGGTGAGCTACAGCTGTGGCCAAGCATGCACAGCCCTACATCTTTCCAACTGAGCAAATGGACCCTTTGCCCAGGGCACTTCCTGTCTGTGGGTCTCTTTGCTTAACCCTCAATTTTGGTCTCTAAGCCACACTATTTGTAGGCAAGGCTGGTAAGGCAGAGAAAGGATTATTTTCTAGCCCAGCACTCAGGCAGTGTCTACTTTCTACCCATTTGAACTTGGTCTAAAGTATCTCTTTCCCTTTGCTGCTCAATGTAGTTGTTTTTTTAAAGTTTGTTTGACTGGTTGGTTTGATTTTGCAGTGTTGGGGATAGAACCCATGGCCTTGCAAATGTAATAGGCAAGGACTGTACAACTGAGTGACATTCTCAGTCCTCACTATACATTCTAAATTATCATGTTATCATGCATTTTAATTTGACCATGAGCCTTCTCTTCGGTGGTCTAGGTGAAAACCTACCTACATGCTTGTTGGAGGCCAGCATCGCTTCAAGGCACTATCCCAAGCTGCCACATTAAAAACAGACAATAGAAGGTGCAGAAATACAGACAGGGAGACATGGTAGGTAGCTATCCCATTACCATAGGCAAGAGATGAGAGTAGCATAGGCTGGAAATGTAGTAAAGAAAACAAAAAGACATAGGCAGAGTCAACATATGTTTTGCTAGAAGAATTAAGAATAGGGTGGCAGGTAGGTATGAGGAAATGGGGAGAGGAAAAGGAGTGGAGACTGTGGTCAGAAAGGACTGTTTTGAAGTCTGAAATATT